CAGAATTCCATAAAAGCATGGCCCCTGCGCACAAACACGAAAAGCATGGCCCTTGCGGACTGATACAAACTTAACCAAAGAGCAAAAAATAGGAAATTTAATTCCAGAATTCCATAAAAGTCCGCGTAAAATTTTAATTAATAAGTAAACAGAATGAACTCGAACAAGTCCTTCGGGACACCCCCGTTAAAATTGGAATGATACAGAGAGAGAAGATTAGCATGATGGCCTTCGCGCAAGGATGACACGCCTAAATCGAGAAATGATCCAAATTATATTAAAAAAAAACTTTAAAAAAGAAGAAAAGAAGGAAAAAAAAAAGAAAGAGAACGGAGCTCAATGAACTCGAATGAAGTATTTGAAGAGGGACATGTGACATCACATCCCTGTCGCTATCTCTTTTGAGAACTCCGTCCATCCGTCTCTAGTTCGTGGTTACCGTTTCCCCTCTTGTATATTCACCAGTGTGACAAGAAGGCATGATTTCCCTTATTACTAGTTATTAACTTATTAGTAGTTATTACTGACTGGAATAGTTGGTTTTGAAATTGGGCCGATTTTTCGAGCGAGCCCCCCACTCTCCACCCCCAAAGAGAAGAAGAAAGGAGAAAACAAGGAAAACAGGAAAACAGAGGCCGAGGAGGGGAAACAAACGTACCAGCACTGCTGTTGGTGTGGCCAGACCTAACGCACATGGGCATGCCACCACCTGTTATAGTTTCATCAACATAAAGATAAAAAAAATAAAGATTCGACGAAAAAAATGTCTCATTCAGAATGGGCATGCCCCACAATAAACAGCAAAGGGACCCCCCCCCCCCCCTAGGAAAACAAAAAGAGCAAGAAAAAGGAATTCGATGAAAAATTCGTCTTATTCAGAATGATGGCCAGGGATATCTTCATACCATTCGTTACATTACAATGGGAATGATAAAAAATAAGGATTCGACAAAAATTTTGTCTCTATTAGTCTGTTACATACAGAGGGGAAAAACTTCAAAAAAGTTAAAAACACACACACAAAAAAAAAAAAAAAGGGATTAGAATTTAGAATGGCCCCCCTTCACAAGGATGGCACACACAAATTGGGAAATGAATGTTTCAAATTAGGGCCTTGCCACACCACTGTCGAAGCGAAAAAAAGTACGAGTGCATCTTCCCGTAGAGAATGGAAAGATGCATCCGTTACTATGAATAGCAAACGAATGCATCCGACCAACTTTCTGGGGACGATGCATTCATTCTCTTTTTGTTTCCACAGCGGTGTGGTGAGGCGCTTATCGAAAAAGCAGGAATGATAACCAGGGGACTTGGGAGTGACAATACCAGAGAACAAAGGGACACACAGAAGATCCATAAAACAAATTGAGAAGGCACAAACCGACACTCTTGTCCAGCACCCGCTGGCAATATATTCCAGCTCTCTGGAATATTTAAAAATTAAAAGTGTTTTTTTTTTTTTTTTCCCTTCTTCTCAAAATCTACTTTCCATGCCTGGACTGGCCAAAATTTCAAAGCCTCTTATGGGAAAAAAAAAAAAAAATCAACCAAGAG